CCTTTGTCACATTTCAGGTCCTAGCACATAAAGTGAAGTATAGGCGCAAGTTTCAAGTCAATCGGAGATCAATTGGCGACTTGGGGTAAGAAACTCGGGCATGACTTAAAGAAGAATTGATTTCTACCTTATTTTGTGACCAGATAATCATGTAATCTTGTCATGAGAAGAAAGAGGATGAGACTACAATCGTCTGGGATCAAACAACATCTGATTTGGAGTCCGAACGAGGGAGAAATGAACAATCAAAGATAGGGCACCCGGAACTGTAAAATACCCGGTCAAAATACCCGATAGGGTATTTTGAGCATATGATAGGGTATTTTGATCAGAGCTCAGAAGGCCCCCCGGTCGTGAACCAAAAATACCCGACCGGGTATTTTCCCTTTTGTGCAGAAAAGTGACCCGGAGCATTTTATTGATACCCGACCGGTTCCCTGAATACCTAACCGGGTATTTGGACCTGCTTTCGCGAACTCGGGCTGTTAAAAGCCTGTTTTGTGTGTTTTTTGAGGGGAGAGCTGGGTTTTGGTTCCCTGGCACCCAAGGGATGAACCAGAGAGAGCGATTTGAGGGCAATCTTGGACTGGAATTGGAGGATTTCTTCACCTTGTAAGTTCGAGGAACAAGCCCGGACTTGAAGATTCTTAGTGTAGTCTCTCTTTTCTCTATGGAGTAACTTCACTTAAGTTTTGAGGAACCCTAGCCATGTTTGTTTGATTGGATGATTGTATGAGTACTCTTACTTGATAATTTTGAGTTCATATTCAATCTTTTTCATGATTCAATTATACTTTAGTCGAGATTATTGATTATGCTTTGATCCTATGAGAGTGAGTACCTAATTAGGTCAATAGAGTACCGTAGATTGATAGTATTGGATCGATTGCTTTAGTCGAGGGTTGATTCACTACTTTGTATCGATTGAGAACCTCATTCGATATAGGGAGTCTAGTTTGGAACACCTTGATCGGTTGTTCTGGAGAAGGATAGGTCCCTCTATGCAATCGACTGAAGAGGGCCTTGATCCTTTAGTCGAGATTCAATGTCTAGTCAAGGATTCTCCGCATTGTGAATGAAAGTGAAACAGGTTAGAGATCATCCATCATTAATCTGGCTAGTGGCTAGGGAGAATCATACCTAAGTGAGTTCCCAACCTGTAATTAGATTAACTTTACCCGTAGTTTGCTAGAGTAGTTTTAGTTGTTCTATCTTAATCTGGTTTGCTAGATAATGAACTGACGCTGAGTAATAGTAACGCTAGAGGCCCGTGGATTCGATATTTATTACTTGAGCCACTAAATTGCATTCCGTTTCATTGGTTACACTTGGCTCTTTAGCATGTAAGATATTGATTGGGATTTTGGCAGGGTAGATACAAATTTTGGCGGATCCTGGTCAGATGATGGTCGATTTCTATTAGGTCGAACTGGGGACGGTTCACTTGAATTGACCGATGTTAATTTAGGTTTGGGCGTAGAACCCATAGCTATTAGGGGTAGAGGTGGCAATTGGATCGGATTCGTGGATTCGTGGATTGGATTGATGGATCCATGGATCAAATGGATTGGTGGATTCATGGATTGGTGGATTGATCCATGAATCCAAATGACATCCAAGGCTTGGACCAAAATGTAAAATTTGAAAAGTTTTGGTACTAAAATGTCATAATGAAAAATTTTAGGTACCAAAATATAATTTTCCAATGATATTTTTCGTATAAAAATATAAATTTTAGGTACCAAAATGTAAAATATAAAAAATATAGGTACCAAATCGTAATTTGCCATTTGGATCCATGGATTGATCCATGAATCCACCAATCCAATTGGATTTGGATCAAATGGATTGGATTTAAATGGATTGGATTAGGTGGATGGATTTGATTGGATTCATGGATTTGGATCCTAATTGCCACCTCTAATTAGGGGCGATGCATCCGCCATTGGCGATAATTTGGAAAATTTCAACAACGCTTCTTTAGAGAGACTGATGAAGCGCTTAGCATTGATGAGTGAAATTCTGCTGAGCATCCAGATTATCCATCTCTTGAACTCTCCGAGGATACCGTTGAGTATGATTACCGGGCGGTCAAAAACGATGTGTATGCAGTGAGGTTTCATGCACACATGTGGGGCTAGGGCGATATTCCTAATAGAGCGTTTGATGAGGGACCAGAAAAGTATAGCAAGCTTAGGCCAGCTACTGTTCTTACCCGCCTCCGCAACTACAATCTACCTACCGAATGGAAGTACACTTCACCGTCACCAAATTCCAGAGCGGGAACGTGTCCGAAGGGATGGATTACCATTTACACCAAGCAGTTAAAGCTTGGATTACACTTTCCCCTCGACCCCATTATTACCCAAACACTATTGTGCTTCAATTGCACCCTTAGGCGGCTCTCGCCCACTGTTATTTTCCAGGTTTGTGCTTATCGGCTCGCTTTCCAAAGGGGTTGGTGTGGAGCCCTCTTTTGCGCTTTCAAATTTATATATGGTCTTCGACGAGTATCTAAGGTGTGGTCTTTTGGGAGGCGGGATAAGGCGTACGGGTTTGTGACTAGTACTCTGAAGTTTGACTCTCCTTGGTTCAAGAATTTGTTCTATGCTAAACCAACTACCAAATGGTATTCCGGTGACAAGGAACCGAGGACGAGTTATGATTATGGGAGGAGGGAGAATTGGAATGCAAAGCTTTGGACGTTGGAGTCTCAAAAAGATCATCTCTTGATGATTGCTGAGCAATCCCCGTATAATTTGAAGCCTGGGGGGCCTGACTCTGTGGGGGCCATTCTGATTGAGCTCTTCGGAGATTGTCAGTAGTATGTTTATTTACTATTGGGGTGCGGGTCTTTCTATTTATTTATTTTTTTGCGCTAACTGGCGTCATCTTTGTTGCAGCCATGCATTTCAGGAAGGTTGCCATGATGACAATGCCACCAAGGCGATCCAAACTAGCATTTCGAAGGCGGGGAGCACCTCTGCTCCTACCGCAAAGCTGGGGTCAGGTTCTATTGCTGCTGGAGCGACGAAGGTTGCGATCCCGTTGAGTAAGCCTTCCACGGCTTCGGGGCAGGCTACTCTTACCAGTGGTGTTGACGACGTGATGACAATGAGCACCGGAGGTGAGATAGTCCACAAAAGCCGTGAAACCGGGAAGGCGCGTGTTGAGGTTCCTGTATAGTAGATGGAGAATCAAAAGAAGGTAAAGGCCACTACGCTCAGCGAGACCGTTGCGTTCTCGCACCATTCCTCCATCCAGGAGGATTGCGCTCGGTGAATGCTTCATGAGTTGTCCAGGAAGCTACCTGTGCCTATGGAGTATAAAGAGGTTGAAGATCCCACGACAAAGCACTGGGTTGGCACCACCACTCGCTTCCTGCTCGCTGTAAGTGACTGCCTCTGTCATGAATCATTAACATTCCTTGATTCGGATGTTGTGTTTGTGTCGTTAACGTTGTGTTGTGTTTGCAGGCTAGGGTTGGTCTCTCCCAGATTGGGATGACTAACGAGAAGTTGCAGATGGCCAACTTGAGAAGCGGTTTCGAGCTGGGTAAGTTTCACAAGCGGGTTCGTGAGTTGGAAGCGGAGTCTATAAAGGGTCGCGCGGCATTCCGAGCGGAGGAGAAGCTGAGCTGGAGAAAGAGCATGCAGAAGCACTCATAGATCTCCGTTCAGAGCTTCCTGAGGTGTTCAAAAGGTGAACAACCTCATGGCGGATAAGGATATTCTGACATCGAAAGTCTCCCGATACAATACGTGGGTCAAGGAACTGGAGGCGGAGAAAAAAGAGAGTGCCTTAAGGCACAAGTTTGAGATTGATGTTACGGTTAAGTACGCAGTTACCCCATACTTGCTTTCTCCCGCCTTCAGGAAGATCGACGATGTGAAGCGCTCCAAATTCATGATGGATATTGTTGCCTCCATCCGTCATCTATTCCGCCGTGAGTACCCTGAGATTGAATGAGATACCGACTCAGTGTGGGATGCAGTCGTGGCATGGGGCACGTCGGAAATTGATGTCAACTCGGAGCAAGGCTTAGTCGATGCTACTTCCAGAGGCGATGTAGCTACTTCTCAGCCTGGCAGTGTATAAGTTATTTGAGAACTTGTTATGTTAATCGAGTGTGTATGTCCTCAATTTGTTTTGTGATTTCAGATTCTTTAATTTTCTACAAATGTAGACTGTCTCCATTCTAGTACAGAGTTTATTATTCCAGCTTCGCTTCTCTTCCTATTTTCGTATATGCGTTCCTTCAAGGTGACTCCAGAGTTTGCATAAACTCCAATGTTTTTAACGATCATGCTTCATGGGGTTTTCATTTTCCGTACAATCCATGCAACAGAAAACATGTAATAATTAACTCGTGCCCCGAGACGCGTTATTGTGCTTCTTCGCGGGTTGGTTGTTCTGCCTTTGGGGTGGCTTGTTATGAACAACCCATGTCCGAGGAGGCATTGATTTCATACTCGTTCTGCCACGGGGTGGCGTTTTATGAGCGACATCCTGCCTCATAGGGCGTTCCCCAGGTGGGTTGTTATGCCCTTGGAGTGGCGTGTTATAAACAACTCATGTCCTGGTATGCGTTCATTTCAGGCTCGCTCTGCCTCGGGGTGGTGTTTTATGAGCGTGATCCTGCCCCGGAGGGTGTGTAGTTTCTGCCTTCGGGATGGCATGTCATGAACAACTCATGTCTTGAGATGCGTTAATTTTGGAATCGCTCTGCCTCGGGGTTTCTTTTATGAACGAGATCTTGCCCTAGAGGGCGTTCCGCGAACAGATTGCTCTGCCTTCAGGGTGGCGTGTTATGAACAACCCATGTCTCGGGATGCGTTAATTTTGGACTTGTTCTGCCTCGGGGTGGCATTTTACGAGTGAAATCCTACTCCGCGGGTGCGTTGTCCCAAGTTACCTCAGCCACCTGATCCCTAACACGACGTCGAGACCCTTGATGGGCAGCTCGTACAGATCGACTCGCATTATCTCCCGTTCAACGTTTAACTCGACGTCCTTGTAGCATCAATCGCAGTGTAGCACATCACCATTTGCGACCTTGACGGTGAAAGACAGAACAGTGGCGCAGCGAGCAACAATTCCCGAGCCGTGTTGCGGTTAATGACGTTGTGGGATGAACCGCTGGTGACCAGTGCCACCATCCTCTCCTGCTGTAACTGCACCAGAAACTGCAGGATCGCTAGATGGGAAACCCCCATGAGTAAAAATAGGGAGACCTCGCCCTCCATCAGGCTGGGATTCGGGTCGTGCAGCTACCCTTGCCTACCGGAGCTTACGTGTGTGTTGACGTCGGCGCTCTTGGCCGATGCGTCCTGTTTCGTAGAAAGATAAAACTGTTCCTCCTCGCAACCCGCCTCGTTGTGCGTCCCGTGGAGTTGGCATGAGCTCGGTTCTTTTAAACCAGGCTTTGATACCAATTGACGCATTAGCATCGCGTTGAGTAACGAATAAACTAAAATAGACTATGTTTATGGGTTTTCTTCTTCTACTTCTCTTATTCCAACAACCGAATATTTATAGTGCTTACATCTGACTTGCTTAATACGAAAGGAACACCGAAATAACAAGGAAAATAAATAATAAGTAATAATGCTAATGGCTTATCACGTCTAGTAATTCGAGTTGGGCTTGGGTTGGCGGTCGGACCGGCGTGGAATAGCCGTGTACGCGTCATCACTCCTAAAAAAAAGTGGAATACAAAGAAGGGCGCCCATTCAAAATCCCACCCATGAGGTCGAGGGGTATTTGAAGGACATGCACTCTGAAGAGCCTAGATCTGGTGCCGCACAGAGATGAGGAAGATTTGTTATCTGGGGAAGATTTCGGAGGAAATGAAAGATTAGAAGGGTGAGAAAAAGGCGTTTGTGGTGATTGTTGCGGCGGATCCAGAAGATAGTAGAGCACTATGCCTAATTTGAATAGAAAATTAAACAATGTAGACAAAAAAAAAAGATGACTATTATTTTCATTACAATGTCAATTGTACATGCCGGTCTTTTGATTTGGCGGATTCATCAAATAATGGAGTCTTCATGCATATCAATAACACACTATCTTAAGAAAATAGTTAAGCAATCAGCGAGAAATTCATCGCTCGTTTTATTGCATAAATAAGTTTTCACGTGTTTTATTGCAGAAAAATTTCTCTCCGTAGTAGCTGTTGAAACGAGCTAGATCAACACCAGACGAATCAACCGACAAATCAATTCGTATTGTGTATCCAGCTCAGTTTCCACTAGCTTCTCTAGTAATTTTGCAAAGGAAGAAACTTCATATTCCTGACTATGAACCACATGACCGGCATAATATCGTAGATCATTCTTCAAAGAATGCATTTAATAGCCTTCAAAGTCTCAAGGATAAACTCTTGAACAAGTTTGTAAATATTTCTTCATCAAAAGACTGGAAATTAAGAACTTTTAAGATCTAGTGCACCACTCAACTGAAGCAATTTAAATGATGACTCAACAAGTTTGTAAATATTTTCTTCATCTAAAGACTAGAAAGAAAATTTTGGGTTCGTTCGTCTCCTCGTTCAAATTTTCTATTTTGGGGCAATTGAATTTTTTTTCTTAGTTCTGACATAGAAGAGTTAGGTTTAGTTTAGACGTTTTTTATTTCAATGGAACATTACACTTTTAGTCTTTTACGTAAGAGTTTTAGGTTTCATTGTTTATTTTATTCTTTTCAAATGCAAATTATTGGGGCTAGAGTTTTAGTCTAAATTGAGAGTAGTGATTTGGATATGTTCATCTAGACCATTTTCCAAGTTATAGAAAATGTTATTATCATATAACATTGGACCGACTTTTCAATATCACTAGGTCGAACACCCAAAATAAAAATAAAAATTCATACGTATTATACTAGCTCTGCACTAGAGGAGGCTTAGGTCGTGGCCCGGGGTGGCCCAGCCCTAGATCCGCCACTGCTAATTGGTCGTCCCACGACTCTGCGTTTGTTTATGTAAAGAATACGGATTATTGGTTGACCTAACTCGGCCTAAGCAGTGTTTCTGACAATTTCTTTCAAAAGAAAGGTGATAGGAATTCGTCTCATATTATTATTATCTCATCATATGGCATATAACCACCAAAGTACACTCACATTCTTATTTGAATCAATCCACTATATCAGAACATATATTAAACATCACATGTATAACAAATATTATTGGAGAGTGTATTTTGATCTTAACATGACTTCTTAACCACCATTTCCAAAGCTTTATAAGACGAGCCACCTTCTTTCAATGCCTTCTCCCCACTACGTTGAGCTGCTTTCACCCTCTCTCTTACCCCTTTCCCTTTCTCACCCACCATCACTTCCCTAATCATCCCTTCCACCTCGTCCCTCCCGACCACTCCCCTCCACGGCATCGTTTCGGTCCTCGACGCCAGCTGGAGCTCCTCCGCCACCAACGTCGCGTTCATCCTCTGCTCCGAGTACAGCGGCCACATCATCATCGCCACCCCGCTCCGCACGCTCTCCAGCGTCGAGTTCCATCCACCATGGCACACGAATGCTCCCACCGCCACGTGGCTTAAAACCTCAGATTGCGGGGACCACTCTGGGACCACCAGCCCCACGTGCCGCGTCCTCTCCACGAAACCCACTGGCAAGCCGTAGCGGCTGTCCAAGTCATGATGAATCCCTTTGGTATCCTCCTCGGACTTTCCTGAACTGAAGAAGGCCGAGTCCTTTACACCCGTGGGCCGACGGACCACCCAGAGGAACCGTTGCTGGCTGCGTTCCAGCCCATGGGCCAGCTCGATCTGTTGCTCGGGGGAGAGGTTCCCACCGCTGCCAAAACAAACGTACACCACCGACTCGTTGGGTTGCTTGTCGAGCCAGGAGAACAAGTCCTGGCTGGTCGGGTTCGATGGTCTGGTTGGACATCGAACCAACGGACCAATAGCTAGAATGTCTCCCTGTATGACCTTACGGCCGAAGAAGTCGTCGTTTCGCAGTGCGGCGAGGGTAGTGGGCTCCAAATCTTCCCACGTGTTTATCAGAATACCTGCCCAAAATGAAGACAAACAACATAGATGCCGAGGAATCAAACAACATAATGCAACTGCAATTATTGCACTGTGCAATGATAGTTATTGACTTATTGTACTGTATAGCTATAGTACCTGCTAGTTACGTAATCTGACTAATACAATGACTTGCCATATGTATATACTACATAGCCATACATATCGCTTTAGCTTGGACCACTCTAATTCTTAATTCTTATAATGGCCACGCTAATTTCAATAAAATATCAATTACGTAAAGAGAAGTGCTACGTTGTTATTATTTTAATTAAATAAAATAATAGAAAGAAAGAAAGAAAAAAGTTAGATTTTATTCATTACATTGTTAAATTAAATGACATCCTAAGTTTACTCAAATCGTCCTAATTTAAAAATTAAGATTACCTCTATAGATTTTGTCATCTAGGAATAACACAATGTAACAACACATACAAAAATTGAGCACCCTCTACGACAGTATCATTTTTCTTTGTTTGGTGAAGGATGATTAGACAATTTATATTTTAAATTATAGGGCATGTATAGTAAACAAACTAAAGTGACATTTAACCGCGTGGTAAAATTAATAAGTAAAATAAGAGGCGTTTGACATGGGGAATTGATTTAATTAATAAACAGAGAAAATGTTGGTCCAATTTGTTTATAAAACGTCAAAAACTCATAAAACCAAATAATTAAATTTTGCGTTGCGTAAGAAAATTTGATGATGGACATGAACGAAAGAAAAGTGATCATACCGTCGGCTTTCCGGAACTCGACCCCCATGCGCCTGTACTCGATGTAAACCTGATCCTTCCGGTCCAACATGGGGTCGACCACCTCATCCGGTCGAACCGAACGACACCCGGGGATCTCGAGCGGCTCCTTCTGATCAACGTACTCTCCTTCCACTTCTCCATCCAAAACCGGCAACTGGATCGTCAGAGCAGTAAACCACGCATTCGAAGTGCCCAACACGTATTTCGCTATCCCCAACTCCTCGGCCACCACAAAACACTCGGTTCCGAACAGATCCACAACCAGACCCGTCGGTCGGACCGCGAGTGACTGGACCGCCGCCCGGATCGCGGGAATCAGTTCCCTCATGACCACGCAGAGGCGCGTGACCATCGCCGCCGCTGGGTCGAGCACGTTGGAGAGGTCCGGCGGCGGTAGTCTCACCACGTTGAAGAAGTTCCCGCTCCCAGGCGCTCCTCCGGCGGCGGCGGCGGCCTCGGTTGTCAGTTCGGTCTCCGCCTGGGAGGAGCGGGAGGCGACGACGAAGACGGTGACGGCGGCGTTGTGGTGGGTGACGAGCCGCTTGCCGAGCTCGAGGACGGGGATCAGGTGGCCGATGCCGGGGCTGGAGAGTAGGACGAAGTGGGGTTTCTTTGCTCCGGCGCCGGGCGATGCCTTTGCCTCCATGTTTGGTAGCTTTGTTCGTGTTGTGCAGTGAATTGGAATTTCAGAGGAGAGATGCGGTTTTGTGCCACATATATATTGTACTGTTGAATTTTGAGGACTATTTATAAAGGACCAAATATGCTCGTGTGGACAGTAGCGGACCCAGAATTCTCGAACAGGTGTGCTGCAGTGATTAGTGAAAAAATGGGGTAAAAAAAGGGAGCGCCGGGGCCGTGATGAATTGTTGGCTGGCAGAGACGACGACTGGGCTGGACTGGATTCGATCGACGGTCCATTATTATTGGGCACGTTGAGCTCGGGAAATTGGTGGAGTAAGTAGGGTCCAATAATGGAGTGCAGGCAGCCAATTTTAATTCGTCGCTCAACTTCCGTCCTATACGTACCCTCTGACGTCAACGTGTAGTAAACACAGGCAGCGATAGCTTGCATGCGGACAAAGATCGCCCCACCGGCCGTCGTCGTCAGTTGCGGCCTGGTAATGAATTAACCACTATTTTTGTGGTGGGTGAGAAACAGAGTAATGCTCAGCGGCCCAACAACCGCCAGAATTGTAGGGCAAGACAACAGTGTGGGGAAAATTTTGTCTGATGTGAGCAGGAAACCATATGATAGCTATAACCGTAGGTACGCAACGTGACCATTTCTGTTTAAGGGATGGCTATAATTAATGATGGTTTTTAAAGTGAGTGACATGCTTTGTCATTTTAAGAAATTATAGGTCATATTTAGGGTCGGAAGTTTGGTACCGATATTTGGGATTACCGAATACAGTATCGAATTTGTCTATATTTGGTATTATCGAATACACGTACTATTTCGTGGAATTGGGATTGAGTTTCAATTGTTATTCGGTAATAGGGATTACGGGATTGAGATCGGTAATATACCGAAATACCGATCAATACCGAAATATAAGCTAGTGTGTATATTATCCTCTCAACTAGACTCTCTTCACTACTACACGACCCTCACCACCAAGAGTGTCATTTAATTATACATAGATCATTATATCACTATTTCACACTAGTATTAGTCGTCTCTCAACCTCAAATTTATCAAATTAAAGATTACCAATTACAAAAAATTGAGATGTTAGCTCTAGGCAACTCAAGACTCTTTGCTTAGTCTCTTTGCCCTAAATTAAACAATAAAATCTAATTTATATATTTAATTATTAATTGCAAAGGTAATTAATTTTGTATTTGATAATACCGATTGGGATACCGAGGTACTGATTGGGATACCGAAATATTTAGGGATTGGGATTTGGATACCGAAATTATTTAGGGATTGGGATTGGGATTGATTTCAGAGTGTAATTCGGCATTCAGGATTTCGGTATTTGGTATTGGGATACCGATACCATACCGATTTCCACCCTACTCATACCTTTAGTTGGCAACGACCACAAGTGTCATAAAGCAGATAAAAAACACAACAAACCATAACACAAATAACATAAAATAGACCAGAAATCCTATGAATTTGATCACAACTCTCATGAAGCAAACCAGAAAACTCATACTAGACCAAAAATACTACTAACCACACCACAAAATTCATAAAGTATACCAGAAACCCCATAAAACATTCCAGAAAAAATAGAAAACACACCATAAAGCTTACCACAAGTTTCCTTAAGCAAACAAAAAACCTCATAAAGCTGACCATAAGATCCTTGAAGTAGACTAGAACCCTCATAAAACTAACCCCAAGTTCCTCGAAAGAGACTAGAAACCTCACAAAGTTGACCATAAGTTCCCTGCAGCATACCAAAATATGTGCAACCACATCAGAAGTCTCATAAAGCCGATCAGAAAGGCTAGAAACCACAGTTGAAACATCATGACGAACCACAAACGGTATAAAGGATGCAAATGTAATAATTTTTTTATAATGATGAATTTTTTTGCAATTAACATGCTTGGTTTTTTGTGGTGTGGTGGTTTTTTTTTTTTACGAATATTGGTGAAATAAGGAAGACAGAGAGCAACGGGAGGAGGACGGAGTGGAGGAAGAAGCTACTATATACATTAGTTACTATCATAGTCTTATTATTAATTTTAGCATCCTATCCGGTCACTCAAACTACAACTAGTACGTACATTCTAATAATACGAGTTATTGAGCGATGAAGACTAGATCTTGTATCATCTCAAATAAAAACCATACAAGGTATTTAAATCAACTGCCAATATAGATCATAATTGATAGAATTTGAACATAAAATTTCTCTAACTCCATATTGAGAATGGAGGGAATTGGTTACCAACCATGCATATCGTTTCCCCACTTAATTTTTTTTTTACAACCAGCCTGTATTCATAAAATTCAAAGTTCAGGGGTTACATTGCCATCCGCAATTAAATTTAACGGTCCCTAAAACCATCCATAAAATATCTCTAACGCCATATTGGAAAGGGATCCAATTAAGAGTAAGGCAAAATACACTATCATAGTCATAACTTTACACTTTGTGACAATTATAGCCAAATTTTGGAAATACACAGAAATAGCCACAGATTTGAAACTACCTTGACAAATTTGTAGCCATTTTCTTTAGAAATATTGACGGAGTTAGAGATGTCGTTAACGTCCGTCAACAACAAGCTGAGATGGCGCCTCGTCAACTTCCACGTCAACTCTTAATTGACGCGTCATGCCACGTGTCATGTCATGTCAAATTAAAAATTAAAATATTTTTTATTACCAAAAAAAATTAAAAAGATCTTTTTGGAGGACATCCACCCACGGGATTTGGTATGATTGACTGATTTGGCTCAAGATAGGGTGAGTAACCTTAGAGTGAGTAACAATGAGTAACCAAATCTGGACCCTTCTTTTAAGTGACTGCAGATCTAAGGGTGGAGAATTAAAAGAATTTATTTTCCCTAGTTTTCTTAATTGGATCATATCTTATTCATTCTAACTCGGATTTCAATTTTTTTTGCATAGATGGAACGAGTTCGTTGTGCTCTACAAAATTATATCCATTTTCAATATTTTTTGAGAAATTTTTTTTTATCCCTCTCCATACCATATGGTACCTCCTTCGTTGTTTAGTCATTTTCTGAAATTTTTGCACAAAAAGAACGATTTAATCATGATCTATTGGATTTCAAATTTTTCTGGGGGGAAAAATTTCAAACCTCTCGTGACCAACTTCATACCATACTATACCACCCTGATATGAGGTGGTATTTTTCATACCATATGGTATGCTGTTATTTAATACCAGTCAATACCATATGGTATTGACTATACCATATGGTATAGACTGGTTGTTATAAACGCGCTGCTACGGATCGGGAAATCGATGGAATCGACAAAGCAAGAATACGAAAGCGAGAATCGAAAACACGACACACGATTTACGTGGTTCACTAACACGATGTGTGTTAGCTACGTCCACGGGCGAGAGAGAGCCAATTTCACTATATCGAGGAGATTACAGATTACAGAGGAGTATGAGAAGTATTTATAGTACTTCTCCATGTGGGTCTAAACCTAATCCAATCTAGCAAAGGAAACGGTTACAGATCAGGCCCAGACCCCCGATTACAAGTCGTAGCGGCTGATAGTCCGATTCAAGTCACATCAACAAATCTCCACCTTGACTTGAATCCTCTTCCTCTGAAATCTCTTATGTACTCTGCTCCTTCTCTCTCTCCCGCCATCAATGCCCTGTAGGGCGGAGTCACCCACTCAAGACATTCAGCAAGTCCAAGCAGTGTTGGAACTTGCCATGTGGAACCGGCTTCGTGAACATATCAGCAGGATTATCCGCGTTGCCAACCTTCTTCACCTTAATCCTCTTCTCTGTCCTCAAGAAATGATACCTCACGTTGATGTGCTTAGTCCTCTCATGGTGGACTTGATCCTTGGCCAAGCATATTGCACTCAAACTGTCGCAATACGCCACTGCCTGATCATGATGTAGACCAAGATCACCAACCAGTCCCTTCAACCATATTCCCTCCTTAGCAACTTCTGTCAATGCCATATATTCTGCCTCAGTAGTAGACAATGTCACCGCCGACTGCAAAGTTGCCTTCCAGCTCACTACAGAACTCCCAAGAGTGAATACATAACCGGTCATCGATCTCCTCGTGTCAACATCTCCAGCATAGTCCGAGTCAGAGTACCCAGACACCAAGCACTCTGTATCACTTCTGAAGCTAATCCCCACATCAGGTGTACCCTTAAGGTACCGGAAGATCCTCTTCACATCCTGCCAATGCTCCTTTCCAGGTTGTATCATAAACCTGCTGACAACACTAACAGCATGTGCAAGATCAGGTCTAGTGCATACCATAGCTTACATCAAGCTACCTACTGCACTAGCATATGAGACTATCGACATGTACTCCTTCTCAGCCTCTGACTGCGGTGCATAAGCTGAGGATAGATGAACATTTGAAGCACTAGGAGTATTTAAGGGCTTTGCTAAAGACATGCCAAACCTCGACAGTATCTTCTGGATGTAGCTCTTCTGTGACAAGAAAAGCTTCTTCTTCGACCTGTCCCTGTAAATCTCCATACCCAAGATCTTCTGAGAAGCTCCCAAGTCCTTCATCTCAAACTTAGCACTGAGAAGCCCCTTTAACTTCTGGATATCAGACTTCGACCTCGCAGCTATGAGCATATCATCCACATACAGAACAAGATAGATCATCGAACCATGCTCCACCTTGCTGTGATATACACAACAATCATATGGACTTCTGTTGTAGCCCAGCTCAAGCATGTAACTGTCAAATCTCTTGTACCACTGTCTCGGAGATTGCTTAAGTCCATACAAGGACTTCTTCAGCTTACAAACATAGTCTTCTTTTCCCGGAACCTCGAATCCTTCTGGCTGAGTCATGTAAATTTCTTCCTCCAACTCTCCATGTAGGAAAGCTGTCTTCGCGTCTAGCTGCTCGAGCTCCAAGTCATAATGTGCCACTATTGCTAGTAGCACTTTGATCGAAGTATTTCTGACCACTGGTGAGAAAATCTCATTGTAGTCAACTCCTTCCCTCTGCGAGAAGCCTCGTGCAACCACCCGAGCTTTAAAT